GACAAATTCCCGGTGAAATTGAATGCCGAGAGCCAAGCCCGGCATGGGGCAAATCATAGTAAAAAACTCCACTATATAGGACCCTGAACTCGACTGCTTCAGGGAGCTGATTCCGACGGTGCTAGATCATTCACTTATGGTGTTGAAGGCATTGCCTCACTAATATAACCCTTTGTCCATCAAAGGGAACTCTCATTACTAGCATTGAGATACGAATAGCATTGACGACTTTTAATGTATCCGTGGACACAGGGTTAACTTACGCCATCGGGACCGTGAACTCACGCTGATCCTAAACTCGATAAAGAATAGTATATACCTCTGAGACTTCCGGGGCGTTATAAGTATAAAGCCTTGCGGTGATTTTTGTTTGTGAATGCTATTGCCTTTCGAATATATGTTCTTTTTCCTTTTATATTGTAACTGAGATACGAATTGAGCACGAATGGGTGCGCACACCAGTTTCGCTTTTTCGTAACGCGTAATGGATCTTTGAATGAATATTTTTCGACCATCCCCTCCTTTGACCATTTGAGGACAGCTGATGCAAATGGCAGTTGCGGCTTGTGTAGTCTGTTGGTACCTTGGCTGCATGGGCGTTTCCAAGATATGATTCACCAAATTCCAATGACTTTTTTCGTAGCTATGCGCCTGGTTCTCGCGCAAATGTGCGTTGTAACGGAGGCAAGTGAGGTTCTGTGACGTGCACGAGTTGGCTTATCTTGGTCCTCGGTGTAAAATTACGGCTTTAAGTTCAAGTTATTAATGCCAATGAGTGGGCAGGTGCTGGAATTGTAGTTTCAGTTGGATTTTATTCGACAAATTCTAGTACCAGTTTCAATATTTGTCATCCGTTGACAGACGTCCTGTAAATTTTGCAATAAATTAGAGTCTTCACTTTAGAATGGTTCTCAAATTATAATGATTATAAGTGATAATCAAATAATTTTTAGTTGATATATTTGTGTCTCTTCTGCCATTAAAATTTGGCCAGAGCGATTTATGTATATAGGAAATTTTCATTATTTGACTGTATCTCTCTCGAGGAAGTTCCGGAGTGGTTTTTCTTACCAATTTGGATGCTTCCAATGTTGATTCAGGAGTCCGCTCTTATTTGTAAAAATAATTAACGCAAGTATAATTGGAATTTCAAGAATCATTTTATTATTTTTTTTGTATATGATGCTATGTTTCACTAATAAGAACATATCTATATCCACTTGTAGGTTAAATGGTCAAATACCTGACTAGCTCGTTTGAACTTTGACTCTTGTTCATCTCGCTGTTGCTGTTAGCGCGTTCGTTCAAAGATTCTTACGCGAGCCGGAGGATTTCTTATGGCTTCCGGTGCCTTGTGATCGTTCAAAAATTATTTGGTTTACTTAAATTTCTTTCAATATGATCTTACCGACTTGTTTTTGTTAATGCAGCTCTGCCCGTAAGCAAGTCTTAAAAATTGTCTTGGTATTTCCTTTTTCCAAAAAGTGCATTTTTGTCAGACTGAATATTATCTAACTGAATTCTTTATGATGATTCAGGTATTATTTGTCAAATCTTTAGTTGAATGACATCTATGGCTTCGCATTGTGATTGATTTTGTCTTAGAAAAACCTGTACATTTGTAGTTTTTCTTTTGATGCACGCAACAAGATACTTTTAGCAATTTTTTATCTAAATTCCGTGACAAACCGTTAGAAGTAACTAAATTTAAATGACTTTGGCAAAGTAATCCTTTTTTGGTATTTCCGTAGGCTACTCATCTCTTCGTATGTAAAATTATCACTCGCATCTCCTACCTTCCATCACAGACCTTTTCGTGAAGTTCCGAATGATATTCGTAATCTTATATTCATGACGAATCTTCATGATGCATCAGCACTTATAAGTTGTCGCGAGGGAATTTCCTATATGGAGTCCTGAGTAATTTCAAGACCTTGGACCGGTGCAAGATGTGAAGTCCGTGACGTCGGTACAAGACACTTTTTACCGCTAGCTGCTCCAAACGATCTGTTATCTCCAGTAGAAGGCATGTGAATGCTCCATAAATTAATATACAGTTTACAGGGGCTCTCTTCTACTTAAAGTTTATGCCTAGTTATGTCTCGAACGTGACGTAACAGTTGTGATGATTGGAATTGATTTTAATATATGTTGTGAACCCTATGCACAAATCATTGTTTTTTTCATGTATTCAAAACAGGCGCCCTTCGCTTATTCAGTTTTGAGAGCACATAGTCCTTTTTGCTGCTTCAGTTTTGGGAGCAAAAACTTTTCTTCTTCTTTTTCTTGTAGACACATTTCGACCGCTTTTGAGTTCGTCAGTTCTTCCATTCGATTTCAGCCATCCGGTAGTAATTTGTAGTATTGTATCAGATGTAGCGTTTTGTACGGAGGTATCGTGTTCACGGTGGTAACGTGTTGTGTTGTACCCACCCTAAATCCTCGTCTGGCCCCTCATTTCCCCGTCTCCTCACACCTTCTCCCCATCGTACCCCACCGCTCGCAGGGCTTGCAAGAAAGTGTTGCCGCTGGGGCGAGTCAGTCGCTCTGCAACCGTCGTATGTGTCGGGTGTTCTCAGTGACAGTGCGCGATCTTGCGTACCTGCGATTCAGGTCTTGGCCTGAGCACAACAATCGAAGTTTCTTTCAAATCTTTGGGGATTCCTTGCTGATGTTCATCCCCGTTCCTCCTGAGATTGAAGAAGAATATAGATGAATATTTCGTTTGGATTAAAATATTGAGTTTCTAACTAACAGCTTATTAACTTTACGCATACATTCACTTATTTTGGCACATGCTGACCTTAACCCTTCACTTCTATATGAATTCGCAAAAGGTCTTTAAAACATTCTAATAAAGGACTAAATGTCACACCTTTGCAATGCACAAGTACAACTATTGACAGAAAATTTTTGTTTGAGACCGTTTGTGTACTCAAATTTGACTTGAAGACCCATCAGGTTTGAGGCCAAATATACGAAAGGCTAACCGAGCTCGTCGTAGAGTTACCACTCTCTCTTTTGCCGCGGCAGGCTGTTGCAAGCCGCCTCCTCCGCCGTTGAAAGCTACGATGACCTGACTGCGCTACGAGAACTAGGCCCTACAGTTGGACCTAACCTAGTGTCGGCTCAGTGAAATCTCGTTTAGATAAGTTAAACTAGAACTGGTGAATGCGCTAGGAATACTTGGCTGCAGATGGTCGAGAACAAGTGACCTTAATTGGTAACAGCTTTAGCTCCACCTTATTTGACGACTGCTTAGAATTTAGGTCCCACTTAGAAGTAACCAATTGCATGGGCAGCGAAAATAAATTAACTGTATCTTCAGAGTTGACACATTTGAGGTTTTGCTTGATTTTGAAGCGGTAAATACTAAGTGTTTATGAAGCTTTGTTTAACGTTCAATTTTATCCACTCTCTATTCCCGTTTCACTTGCTGTTGAGGCGGCTTATTACCAAAATCAGTCGAAAATTTTGTTTGAAAATTTGTGTTTGTACAAAAAACTTTCCTTGAGCAACTTAGTTTGTCGCTTTTATTGTATAAATTGCCCTGCCACTAAAAATTAGACGTTTTCCTAAGATTCAGTTGCAAAATCTTTGTTCAAGTTATTGCATTTTATTTTGTAATCTATGCTTATTTTGAACTCAAATCACTGTTTCTTACTTTCAAAGATAGAAGTAAAAAAATTTCAAAAATATGTTATCTTTCCCAACACACTTCTGGTTTTCTTTCCACGTTTCGATTTCAATACTATCACGACGTGGAGAAATAATTCAACTTATCAAAGATGTTGAACAGCTTTCGAAGTAGTCTCACGGCAACCTTGCATTCGTGCAACAATCGCTGCTGTTCTTGTATGACGCTAACTTCTTGTGATGGATCGAAGTCGTCGACAACTCGCCAGATGTTCTAAATGTTCGATGGACCAAATGAATCGTGTTTTTTGTCTATTGATCAACCCTCCTCAATTTCATGTTCAGTTTAATACCTACACGTCATATTTTTCCTGCTATCTTCTGTTTAACGTATTGTTCGTTTCTAGATTGCATTTATATTAAGATACGATTAAGAATTAGATATAGTTGGACTGCTTTTTATTCATAAATAATATTCATTAGCCTGTTTTTTTTATTTATAAATAAATTTCTTCTGAATCTAATTGAAATTAAAACTTAACATGACATTCAAATCAAAAGCTATGTCGAAAAAATTGAATATTCCAGTTATTTAAAACTCGCCTTGCGTAAATGCTATTTCTATTTAATATATTCACAAAATGTCTTCGAGCTCATAATGTATAATTCTATGATCCAGCTATACTTAATCCTTTCACTTCACTTCTGCTCCAATGTTGGCCATCGTGCACCATAAATACCGTACCCACCGTCCCAGCAACGTGCAACGTCAACCTCGCTCTCCTCCCTCGGCTTTCTCAGGACTTGTACGTCCATGAAGACGATCGTGCTTCTGGAGGCATAATTATCTTTAGTGTCCCCGTCATTCTTCATTCACCTGGCCTTAGCTATGCCTTTTCTTGTGACCTCTTGAATCCTTGGCTGTATTTCATCACAAAGGTCGCGCTTTGTGTGGCTGCTTTACAAACACCCGTTCAACTTAAGTCATTATCAATTGCGCAGTTATATTTTTACGCCTTCTATTTTCCCATTGTTGTAACATTCTTGCAGTTCCGACGACGTCTTTTTCAACTATGAGGTTACGGTTCAGTGATCCATGGCTTGACGTGCTCGATGGTGCTCAGTCTCTGCATTGTATCAGAATAAAATCTGAATCATTCGTGAGACATTCGTGAACTCCACAAGAACTGCTAATATTGACCGGGAGAACTTTAGCCCGCTTCCGGCCCTCCAATGCCGACAGAGACACCCGTTGTTCTGTAGAACCGTGACCTGGCTGAACGTGACTTTATTTCTATATTACCACCCGCGGTAAATTCGGCCTACTTGCCGTTCCGCACTTGGATATAACGGCATAACTAATTTTTCTCATGATTGGCAGGCGTTCTAAATCAAAACCGCAAGTCAATATGTTGCGCAAAGACAGTTTTCACAGTACAGTAGTGCTTATGGCTTGTTTTGTCAGTATAGCGTTGTCGGCTCCACAGGAGTTTGAGTTGAAAGGTTTAGTAGATGGTAGCAAACCTGTAGTCGTACACGCACGGCCAGCCATCACTGCAGTACTTGCTGAGAGACAAGGAGCTGCCGCCACCAACGTCCCTGTTGTTGTTCCTGCCCCTGGTGGACCAAGTAAGTAACATCATACTTCAGAGATCACTTTTTCGTTTTAACCCCGTTTATTTTATTTTTTACATGATTTCTTCATGTAAATGTAAATCCATGTAAATTCATTTTTTTACATGACTTATTTTATTTTTTACATGATTTTATATGATTTCTTCATTTACCTGGTTATCAGAATGTAAACTCTTTCGATGGTTCGTACTCAACGACAATGTATATTATTTCAGTTTTTTTTTGCAGGGGGATATTTTGTTAAATTTTTGTGTCATAGCATTTCCTTACATATTAAGCCACTTTACGACTTTTTGTATGCATCCACCCTATCCGTGCGTGTTTTTTTCAAAAAGTTAACTTAATGTGAACGCGTGAGAATAATTTCGACGTGAAGCATAAGCCTAGTGCCAACCTCTGCGTTCTTATAAAATAGATCGTACAAGATGCGTAGTACACTTATTTTAAGCTTGAAGCCAAACAATATATATACCTATTCATTCTAAGTGTCTTGTGATCAATCAAAATTTTACCGATTGTGGAACATTCATCATCACGAGTTTCTCAGAACAGTTTTTCACCAGGAAGTGATTGCTGTTGAAACTTTGTTTCGAGTAACAGAACGCCGGTATATTGATTCAATCGTGGAATGGCTAATGTGATTATTCCGTACTCTTATAATAAATAATACTTGCATATAAATCTGTGTATGCATTCTTAAATACATGCACTATAATGTCTTATCGTCAAGAGACATTATTCATTGCATAATTCAAGTCTTTCAAAGTATACCGCTTTCAACATAAAAAGCCTACCATAAAATTCTACCATACTCTCATTTGAAGCACACACTATGCTGGCTAAAGTGACAATTGTCTATGGAGTCTTGATTCTTGAATGTCTTCAGGGAGCCTCTCTCAAGCCTCTATTGAACCCACTGACTTCTTATCATTTATTCCCGTTCGTTTTCTCCTTCAGAAGCCATGTAGGTTATGTCTTTCCTTATTGATTTCACTTTCCGATGCCCAAGCGTGTCAGCAGTTTGTTTATTTTTATGATGGCGTCCTTGACAGTGTCTATGAGCGTCTTGCTGCACAGCTTATTTTTTATTCAAGTCTGAACGTCGCTGGTGTTTTGAAGAACTTTATAGACTTACGTGCTCTATCCAATTGTGATGTGCATCCTAATCTGGTGCCAGGGAAACTTTCTCCGCGCTGATGTGAAGCGGTACGCCGATGAGCAGGATGAGCGTACGCAGACACTTATCAGTATTGCTGCTCCTTCTGAGCAGCTGAGCGACAGGTTACTGCTCCTTCTTGCCAGCTGAACGACAGGTTACCGCCTGTCTCTTATACACATCTAGATGTGTATAAGAGACAGGTTACACTTCCAGCCAACGTTCGTTCAGTGAAAACTGCTTCTGTTCTTACACTTCAGTAAACGTTCAATGCAGTAAAAACTGCATCGGTGTTACACTTCAGTCAACGGTCAATGCAGTGAAAACTGCTTTTGTTGTTCCACTTCCAGTCAACGTTCGTACAGTGAAAACTGCTCCCGTTGTTCCACTTCCAGTTAGTTAGTTATTAACTTTATCTGGTTTCAATACAATCTCACAGATAATAACTAATCAATATCCAAAATCGACGTTCATTGATAATTCAGTCGCTATTGACCGCTGCTGACACAACATTATCTAAATAAAAACTTGAGCAACCTAACCGGTATTTACAGCCTGTACGTTGATGAATGTTTTGTTGATTGCTCTAATTAAGTAGGTTTACCGTTAGAAAGGAACCGGTATGAATTTCAATATTTGTTGAGTACAATTCTGACGAACTTCTGTGCGCCATGAGTAACAAGATCGTTGAACTTATGTACTCCTACGTACTCCTCAAATCCGTGCTCCTCCTCGTACTTACGTACTCCTCCTCGTACTTATGTACTCCTCCTCGTACTTACGTACTCCTCCTCGTACTTACGTACTCCTCCTCGTACTTACGTACTCCTCCTCGTACTTACGTACTCCTCGTACTTACGTACTCTTCAAATCCGTGCTCCTCCCGTACTTACGTACTCTTCAAATTTCCAAATCCTGTCCAAGTCTCGAAGTTTCATCCGATCACCAAAACGCCCGTTGTAATTTCATGTGAAACCCAAAGATCGCACATGCGAATAAATATTTTTCTATCATAAATAATTATTAAGTCCTAATTAACTCAACTTAATTTGTCTGGCTGTTTATATTTTTCATACGCTTTACATTATTTAATTGCATGAGTTGTTATTTAGAGGTATTCGTGTAACCATTTGTTCTAGACTTTTCCTAGAGGGTTGCTGACGAGAGCGTTACTCGCTATCCCAACTTTTTGCCGTCGTATATAAGATTGTATAAATGTCGGTACAGTCATAGTTCAATAAGTCTTTACATTTGTTCAGAATGAGCCAGAAATCGTTAACGTATCAAAAACGAATACGAGAATTATAGAGAGGAGCGGGACTTCGCTCTGTCCAAGGAGTAGCGTACTGCAGCTTATATTCGCTAAGTCAGCCTGTCAAGTATACCAGAGACAAATTGTTGTAACTTGACTGGCTAGGCCTTACAACGGGTGCTAATACTCAGTAATGCAAATAACTATCTTACAAAGATTATTTATTGAGAAATTTTGAAAAAATACTTCAATGATTCTATGGAAACCCCAAAGCCCTTTTATCCATTTATTAATATCATATTTTGTAGATGCGCATTCCTAGGAAGTCACAACCTTCGGCATTTGAGTCAAGATCTCGTCTTTGTGATGACGAGCGTGTGCCGCTCAGTGACTAGTGACCTTGTGCCGCTCAGCGACTAGTGACCGTGTGCCGTTCAGTGACTAGTGACCGTGTGCCGCTCAGTCACTAGTGACCGTGTGCCGCTCAGTCACTAGCGACCGTGTGCCGCTCAGTCACTAGTACAGGTTACTGCTCCTTCTTGCCAGCTGAGCAACAGGTTACTGCTCCTTCTTGCCAGCTGAGCGACAGGTTACTGCTTTTTGCCAGATGAATATCAGGCTACTGTTCTTTCTAATGCTGAAACTTCTGTCCAGCTGAGCAACCACAGCTGCTATTTCTAACCAGCTGGTCAATATCCGTGAGCCGCGGCAACAGGAGGCTCTACGAACAGGTTGATTCCTTTACGTAAACCTTATTCGATCTGCACCGAAATTTTGTATTCGCTCTTTTTATCCATTATTATCTGGAAGTCAACTAACTTCTCATCGAATTAAGCGCTGACACAATTACTTACGTCAATTTGTGCTGCTCCCATAAATTTTTAGTTGGTAATGAGCAGCTAATGGCTGTGTATTTCATATAGTGACGATTGTGCACTTCATATAATGACATGATTGCGCACTAACTTTGTTGAGATATTGGCACCAGTGACACTGTGAGCGGCAATTGCAGGCGGAGAATTCCGTCTTTGGTTGAGGCAGCGGGGTCAAAAATGAGTGAGTTTGTTTGTCTCTATGACCAAGTCCAGTTGGACATATTAGGTGCACTGTCTCGATGCTTGATGATGTCTTAGACTCGAGGTAAAATTCGAACCGGTTTCTTATGAGATCAAACGTCTCTTGTTCCTCATTTTATGATTTAATGCGCTTTTAGCTAAAATTCTAATCTATTAACCTATTCAAATTTAGCTCAACTAATAATACTTTTATATTTAATAGGCTGACGAACGTGGGACTCGCTCATTGTAGTTTCCAACGTTGATTGATTCGTAAGTTTTTATGCTCCCAATTGTTCTAAATGCCGGGTAATGCCCTGATATTATTTTTTTTTGTCACAACAATTTCTTTTTACCTTCGAGATAATGCATCAAGTTTCTCATTATTTGGTCTTAATCTGACCGTTAATAATTATGCTTGGCAAATCCATTGTTTAAATTCCGTTTATTTGTTCCGCATGGAAGAATTTTCCATTCATGTCGCTGGGCTAGAAAATGGCAACTTCTGCGGCCCGCTAAGGGGTCGATAGCGAGGGTCGTGTGTGATGGAGTCTTGGGTTAAGTTATGAGGAGAAAGGCTTTTAGTTTTGCTAAGTGAACTCGACTTCGAATCGCTTCAACGGACACTAAAACTGCCGGCTAGCAGTGGTTCTGAACTATCAGTGGTCTAAAACAAGACGTGGTCATGAGTACGAACTAGAATGTTGAACACTCCAGTGCCCGTGCGATGCCGCTATGACTTCGTGAATGACTGTGACCCGGGGCCATACTTTCAAAATTCGCTAAGTAAACGTGAGTACATACACTCTATTTTCTTGTCTATGATTGGTGGACTTTGCTTGAAAGGCCGTTAATGATTGGCTGATGAAATTACTATCTCTTAACTTTTTTTGAAAGTAAGGGCCCGGGTTAGCTAACATCATCCTGGCACCTCATATTCTTCTGTAACTCCACTAGGGCGAGTACATATCCAACTCTCGGCTTATTAAGATGGTTTTAGCTTCAATGACGTCTTGGTAAATGGCACGTTTTCTTTTTCTGCAATTCTTATTTTAAAAAATTTATTTTAATTATAATAGCTTCGTATGTGCGTTTGATTTTTTAACTGAGTGTTGATCAAGAAACAAATATGTAGAAACACATGTCTCTGCTGGCGCACCCTAAAGACACGATAGCGCCTGCTAGAAGCTAGAAATGCGGTTTCTATTGACGCATTCCTGTCTCGGCAGCTTGGAAAGGTGCCGGGGTTGCGAATGCGTAAGAGAACCTCAACCTCGGCTGGCAAGTGTGCCTCAGAAGCGCTTCGTGGTCCAACCTTGCGTTAGAAAGTAGTCAGGTAGGCAGGCTGATTTCTTATGGTAGTGATGCATAGACAAGTTGCGTGAAGCCTCACTCGCACCACACGAGATACTAGCGAAGCCATTGCTGTTCATCACATACACACGTACACTCACATACACACACTCACTCACACACACACACATTCACACACACACACACACACACACACACACACACACACACACACATA